GCTTTCTCCCAGTCTCAAAAGAAAGGATGTGCTCTTTGGTTTTTAGACTTTTACTAAAGCAAGAGAATGACTCAAACCTTTACAGGAGGAAAAAAACACATTAATTTCACTATAGGGTCTTGATTATATTATTCTAGTACCTTCTGCTGCACAGTTACTCAGTGCTGAGAGATAAGACAGATGTAAGGATCACCAACTTGCACACTTAGAAACTTTTACAGCATCTCTACTGAAAACTGTTGAGAGTTTTAAAATAAAATTTATAGGAGGCCACAGGTTTGAACTGAGCACCTGCACTGGGCCCAACAGATAAAACCAAAATGGAGTCGCTCCTGCTTAAGTGCGAGGCTGCAACCCGAACTAAATTGTTTATCTGACTTTCCAAGACAACAGGAGGGAGGGAGGAAGATGGAGAGGAAGGGCAGAGGAAGGGCAGAGGAAGGGGAGAGGAGGGAGGGACAGGACAAATCCCCAAACAGGCTAGTTTTGCCAGCATGATAAGAAAGTACCCTCAGCTTTTAACTTTTATAAGCCAAGAAACTTTGAGTCGGGGATTTAGTTCAGTGGCACCACGCCTGCCTCAAAAGGTCCTGAGTTCAATCCCCAGTACCAAAAAAAAAGAGAAAGAAACTTTGAAATGACCAATCTCCTTTCCGTTCTGTTTCTGTTTCCTCAGCCTTTTCTGTTTAGAAAACCAATCTTTGCTCAGCTCATTGGAACCCTTGTTCTATAAAACAGAATTCTAGAATTGCAAATAAAAACCAACCAGGGTCTTTAAATTTGTTGTGATTTTATCTTTTGGCAGAGTTACTGGGAAATGCTGTCTCTGTGAAGTTGAAGAAAGGCTGATGGTATACTCTTCAATAACCGGCAATTCTAGGAAATAACTGTGATTAGGGAAAAAGGACACAAACTTACAGGTTAGTACTTTCCCAGAAAAATAATTCAAATAGAAATTTCCAGAATATCACCCCTAGTTCTTTTTCTACATCTTAGAATATGCATTAAACTCTTGGGAGAATATGCATTCAATTTATGAGTATTTATTAGTCACTTACTGTGTGCTCCAGCCACTCGGGCAGAGCAGTAAGGCCAGGAGACAACCCCTTCCTTTCATAGAGCTTATTATCAGTGTGAAGCACAGGAGGACAAAGGCCATCATTTCAAGGGAAGCTGTAATAAAGCTATAATGAAGCAAGTGAAGTGGGGGTGACAACAATGCTATTTTTGAAAGGTCAGGAAGTTCTTTTAAAGAAAAGTGACCTCTAAGCAGGGACATGGGTGAGTTCTGAGGGAGCACTTGGGAGGAGGCCAGCTAAGACAGAGGCCTGGACAGGAACAGGGACTCCTCAGTGTTCTCAGGCAAAGGACAGCCCAAGAATGAGCTCTCAAGGTGTGGTGTGCCAGGTTTGATAGAAAACTATGGTGAATGTTTAAGTTTTTTAAACAATCTATTAGAGTAAAAAACGCATTCCCACGAATCACCCTCAAAATCCTCCCCCTTGCTTTGAACACTCTTATCTCATGTTCTTGCCACTTTCTGAAGCAGTTCTGAGAGTACTCTTTCCTAAGACTCTTTACGTGGTGTGATCAGAAATACAGTGAATGCTACTGCTGAAGGGCCATTCAACAGAAAGGCAAGCTTTTAAAAACATGATGGTGTGGGCCGGGGATTTAGCTCAGTGGTTTTGCCGCCTGCTGTGCAAACTCAAGGACTGGAGTTCACTCATCTTATTTACACAGATCTGGCACTATGCAACTTCTGGCTCTCCCTCAAAATCAAAATGAGCATGAAAGGTCAACATTTTGAATTGATTCAGACATCGAGGCAACCAGAATAGCTTAACTAAAGACACTCATGAAAGAGGACTTCCAGAGCTGCTGCAGAAAATAGCAAGAATGATGGGATAAGTGTGTTCAAAGCAAGGGGGTATGATGAAGCGTCTTAGCGCAATGTGCCTTTTTCTGTAATAAATATTTTTTTAAAGCAAACATTCACCATATATTTTGATCACACTGCATTCCAACAATTCACTGTAGTTACTTTGGTGGTGGTTTTAATGTTCAACACTGCCAATTTCTCTCTATTGTTTACAAGCATGAGAAATTGAATTTTATTTAGGAATCTAGTCTACCACAAGGCACTTTCCTAATCCATCAGGTGGAGGATGGATATGGTCCCACCGGAAAAACAAGGACTGAGCAGACTGTTACAAAACAAAGACAGGGTTCCCAAAGGAAGGGATGCAGAGTCAGAGGAGGCAAGTTCGCTTCTGCTCCTGAGTCACAGCCCTGCTCTTCCTCGCCTCTCCTCTTCCCAGGTTTCTTCTTCATTTTACCCACAGTTCAGCTGGGGCAGCCTGTTCACTTTCCTCTCATCCTTGGTATCCAGGCAACACTGGGTGAAGAGCAAGGAGGACAGCCCTGGGAGGGAACCGGGAGGCACAGGGAGCAGGGAGGGAGCTACACCTGCCACCTGAGAGGCAGGAGGATGGAGGGCACGAGCCTTGGACAAGGGAAGAGTCCAGAGCCCTGTGCGCACCTGTCTGGGTTCCAAGTCAACTGTGGGCTGAGTGACTTCTGGGTCCTCTTCATCCCCAGAGCAGCCTGTCAGGAATCATCTGGTCGTTTCTGTCTTTCCTGGGGCTCTCACTAAATCCCGGCTGGTTCTGATCAACTACTAGAGGCTGGTTCTTTTCCAAACCCAAGGGCTTTCAGCTCTTAGCTGACCAGCAATGCTCCTCATACACAACACACTGTCACCATGGCATGGACATACACATGCACACATGCACATGCGCACACACAGACACACACACACACACACACACACACACCAGTGCTGCAATCTGATGGAAGAATCAATCAGACCACTTGGATCACACAAATAAACTGTCTGATAGAATCAGGGACTGTCCCTTCCTATATCTGTCATCTTGTGCTATCCACCCAGGGTCCCCTGGACTCTGCTGGGCAAGTTCACAGGGTGGGCAGTGAACACAACTCACAGATGAAATTCTTCTGCATCAAAACAAACCCTCTGAGGATGACACGCACTTGGAGTTGAACTCCATCTCTTCTGCCCAGTGGTGGTTACTACAGTTCATCAGGAAAACTGTTTGCAATTTGCAAAACCTCCAAATTCTGCCTCGGGAGTCTGTGCCTCTTGGCTTGCTCATAGCTCTTTCTTTGTGACCATGAGATGGGTTTGATAATCACACACTGAGTTGCATAACTCTTATTATTCTGACCACAGTAGCCTAGTGGACAAAAGAGAACCTATGTTTGGCATTTTCTGGTTCGGATAAACAGCTTCATCCAAAGACAACAGCAGATTCCCATCACCCAGTAGTGTGGTCCCCTCTCCATCTTCCTTGCTGACTGCCCTGCCTGCCCTGCCTGGGGTCCTGCCCCCCACCCCCCACATAGTAGGGCCCACATCCCAGCCACAGGATGTTAAAGTGGCAAGAGAGTACAGCTGTGATCTGAGCGGAGGAAGGGCATTGGCAATGCTAGAAGCAAGTTGGTGGCCAAGGTGGGTCTAGAGCCCTCTCGTCTTGGCTCATGGCCCTGAGCTCTTTCCCCAACCCTAATATGAAACAGCCTCCTTAACTGAGCTGTGGGGAGATTCTCATGGGCTCAGTTGCCCTGCGTAAATAATGACTCATCAAGACAATAATTAGGCCATATCCAAGGTGGCTATAGCATCATGGAGAGGAGACTTCAAAGTGCCTCGTCCTCTAGGTCTTGGGAAGTGAGCGGGGTCTGGTGACCTAATAGATGTGTTCTGACTCCTGAGCTCTTCCTTCTTCTGCCGAGCACCCAGTGATCAACCACCGCCTGATGTGTCCCTAACACCTTCGGCTCTGGATCTTCAAAAAGATGACAGATGCTCAAGAAGGAAGGGTCTTTAAACCAGTTGGCATCTATCCAAATCTCAGGGTGCATGGGAGAGCACGTGCGTTAGAGGCAAATGCCCATCTGGTGTGGCCTCCCCAGAGTTCATCCTACAGCTGTGTCTGCAGACCCCACTGAGGCCTGATCTGGTAGTTGCCTGGTTAGTGAATCTGACTAGTTAACAGTTAATCTGTGTAACTCAAGCTGGGATGTTCATTAGGCCACTTGAATTAGTCTATTTGCCAGTCTCTGCTGCCGGGCCATTTAGTAGAAGTAGAAAGAAACCACCAGTCATCTGGTGTCCAAAAGGCCAGCCCTGTGGCTATCCCTCTGCTCTGTAGCATGTGCTAATGTGGTAAAACCAAAGTTGCCTCTCAGTTCACACCCATGTCCCACTGCCCCAGCCCCAAGCAGCATCCAGGTGCTTAGAATGTGAAACTGGGAGCATCACATAGGGTACAAAGAGAGGGGCTGCAGAGACACCTTTGATGTTCGCTACCTCAGTCCCACCCATTGCTGAACTGCTCTGTCCCTTCCACATCCAGCTCTAGTGACCACAATGACCTGCCTCACACTGGGGAGACTGAGGCTCCGAGAAATGGGGACCTGGCCTTGGATCACACAGCAAGCTGACTCTGATTCCTTACCCTGGCTCTTACCTGAGCCATGTGCCAGGCCAAGGACCACAAGAGCGGAGTCCCTGCTCCATCTCAGGGAAAAGGATCAGCGAGTTTCAGTTACACAAAAAGGAAAAATAAATACCAGATATTTGAAATCATATTATAACACATCTTTCCAGAACCTAAATGTGCATTCTAAGTGAAAAAAAAAAAAAAATCAAATTAGAAAATCCATAGGGCAAGATGTTTTGAATGAAAATCCTCTCTCCCTCTCTCTCTCTCCCATACAATATCTCATTGTTTCTTTTTCAGGGAGCAGCTGTGAAGGAAACTGGGGGAGGGGACAGACACAACATTCCATCTTTGTTTCATAAAGAGCTGAGCTTTTAGGCCAGCCTCCCTGAACCGCAGGGGGTGTGGCATGCGTGACTGTCAAACACCAATGACCTGAGGGTAGCTTATAAAATAACTTGGGAGAAGCTACTCACAGGCATCTCAATTTGAATGACTCTGCATGTGGAGACTGCCTTCATCTGGTTTTTGAAAAGGTAGGTACTATAGTTTTCATTTTCATTTATGATCAGTGATGCTTAAAATAGAGCCCGGCATGGTTTCCCACTGCCCTTTTGCAGCAGCTGTGTATCATGACTCTCACTGATGGAGGGCTTGTACAGTAGCTTTACAAATGCAGGCTCATTTTCCTTTAAATTTGCAAGGTAGGTGTCACTAGGGCCACTTTTCAGATGAGAAGACAGAGTTCTGGTTATGCTGAGCAACAGGCCTAGGATAAGGCCGAGCCCAGTGCTGAATCACCCCAAGATCTTTGCCCTCCCTGTACCAAAAGAGACAATGAGAACATTTCCATGCACCAATACGCACTAGGTGAACTTTCCAGGAGTGATCCAGCTGTGCATTACAGTAAAATCAACCAAAAACTGGAACTGATTGGGTGAGTAGAATATTGAACAATGTGGCACAATGATATTTTGTTGAAGCCAAGCATGGTGGTGCACCCCTGTAAATCCAACACTAGGGAGACTGAGGCAGGAGGATCACCATAAAGTTCAAGGCCAGCCTAGACTGCCTACATGAGTTCAAGGCCAGCCTGAACTACATAGTGAGACCCTGTCTCAAAAGGACAACAGAAAGAAAGAAGGAAGGAAGGAAGGAAGGAAAGAAAGAAAGAAAGAAAGAAA